ACAGAAAATAAAAGGATTAGTTATTTTTAGCTCGCCGCAAAAACGGTTTCTTTCAGATCTCTGATCGTTGTGTGTTTTTATGCGTCTTGTACTGCAGCAGTTGCGCTAAACGCATATTGTCCAGAAGCTGGGTATGTGTCTGTGTTTGCATGTGCGTGTGTTTTCTGAAGCGAGTGAAATCGCCATCCATTTTTAACTTAAAGAACCGAAAATCTATGAAGTTGAAATTTCAGGAGCATATTTCCAACCCTTGTGCTACCTTCTTGTTTTAAAATAATCACTTATACGAGTCTAGGACTCGTGTACGAACCCCCGAAGAAAGTGCAAATTTGGCTCGAAACGATTTCGGAACTCAGGCAAGATAGAAAGCTGAAACTTTTGCAAACGTATTCTCTGCGTACTTGTGAGCTAAAAATTTCAAAATCAATATCGCGCACGCTTGTACCGCGAGTGCGGTCGCGTCAGAGTTCGCAATTGACACTGTGCCAACTTGAAATCTGGCTGAAAAGCAGTAGATGAAATTCTGTCAGGATATTTATCGTCTATTTTGAAAATCTTCTACCTAGGACGAATTTCGATTTTCACTTGCGCCGTGACTTACGGCGCTTCAGAAATATTTGTTGCGAAGCAACAAATATTACCGTGAAAGGCTACGAGGCTGTAACATTGCAAGCATTTTCTGCAACCATGTGTGATCTTTCAACTTGAAGGCTAAATTCACTGCTAAGGGACAAGACAAATACTCGATTTTATCGCAAACTCAAAAACAAATGTGTTATTTCTTAGTCCCTCTGTTTCTTTATCCTGTACATTTTCAAATTTGCATTTTTCGATGAACGAATGCTCACCAGAAAAATGGCAGACTTCATGCAAAAGATTAATATTTATGAAGACTGTAGGTTCACGCGGCCCCAATGATGCAGCACTGCCATCCTAACTTGTGTTCTAGAAAACGCCAAAACATCACTAGCTTCACATGTTAATCTATAACCCTGGAACCACTTATCTTGTTACGATCTGATGGTTGCAAGACTGGTGCATAAACGCATAATCTCGCCGGAAGGCCTGGTGGATTCAGCCTGGGATTCGTTTCTGCGTCTTGCAAATGCAAAGTGCAGATTATCGAGGGACCATATTTTTTTTATAGATAAACCTTTCCGAGAGAATTGACTATAAATGTTCATTAGGAAAAATGCGGGAACGCTAGTGATGAGGCAGAAATTGGATTACAGCTTTTCGAAGTTTACTGTAATACTGCTCCTGTATTGTTATAACTTCAGTGTTTTTGCATACGTCTTCTCCCTCAGCGAGTACTAGGCTGCTGAGTGTTCGATGCTGGAAAATGAAAATTGCTATGAAGCATCTTAGGCTTTATCGAGCGCAGAGTGATTATTTGCAAACCAGCACTGGAGGGGCCTTTTATTCAAGTGCGACTCCCCACCGCCTGATTTCACTCATTTACTCTGGGACTTACGTTCTGGTTACTGTGCAGTGGACTGCATGTGAAATGAACAAAATTTAGCTTAGTAATATTTTGTATGGAGGAGGAAGCATACCATTCATTCATCTGCATAACTCATAGTAACTGAATAAAAGGATTAGTAACTTTTAGTTCGCAGCAAACAAGGTTTCTTTCAAATCTCTGATCGTTGTACATTTTTATGTGTTTTATGCTGCAACAGTTGCGCAAAATTGCGTATTGTGGACAATATATGTGTGTTGCGCGTATGCGCTTGTTTCTAGTAGTTTTATAGGGGCTTTCAATTCAGGGTCCGCAGAAGATGGAAGGTTGAAATTTTAAGAGAACATTCCATACCCGAGTGTGACTTTGCAAATTAAAATTCAGTGCCTGCGTACATCTAGGCTACGTAAAATTTTTGATGCCAAGATTAATAACTTGGGAACCACAAAATCTAGAAAGCTGAAATTTGAGAATAATGTTACCTGTCCATAATACATCCAGTTCTCATTCATGCCTTCTCAGTAAGAGCACGTGAAAATTCTTGCGTCAGAGTTAATAACTTGGGAACCACAAAAATTTTTGGATATGTCAAGCAGCAGAGCACCGAATACTTCTAGCAACAAGGCTTTTTGGACAACGCCGCACAAATTTCCGCCCTACAGGGTTCAACAAGAGTCCGCCGAACGGAGTTGAACACGCATTCGCTGGACAAAGTTGCACAAGACGCATGATAGCGCTAGTTACCCTTGTGTTTCTGGAGTTTCCGAAATAATAATATTCCGGCCAAAATTTTCGTACTAGGGCAAGTGCGGCCTAGGCGTAAGCGAAAGCTGAATTTAAATTTGGAGGCTCACACTTTGCATGATAGATTCTCCCAAAATTTCAGCCTACTAGAATTTTTGGTTCGTGAGTTGAAAGTGCGAGAAAAAATGCACTCGAACAGACACACCCACACGTACAGACAAACAAACACGAACAGACGGGGGTGTAACTGATTGCGTTTGAGTACCTGTTGTGTAGAAAAAACAAATAAAAAAACCAATTAAAACTGTCGAGGTCAAAATGCTGGCAAAGTGAGAAAGATCGAAAGACCTGCTATTGCTGTCGTGTGGTTATTGTGCTGCTAAAAAATAATGCATTTTTGAGCAAAAATTGCGCCAAAAAATGTTTCCGTAAGCCACGTTTGGCACCTCTAAACAACCACCAGATTGTAAATATTTTAATGATGCAGCAGTGTTCTTGAAAAAAGCACAGGCACATTAGTACTAGGGAGAAATCAACACTTTAAAGCATTAGAGATGATTAGAGAACCTTGTGCTTGAGAACACGTTGATGCAGTTTTCCCTGACAACGATGATAACGGTATTCCGGCAAGTACTCCGTGGGAAATATAATAAAATCATTGGCGACGTGCAACGGCCGGGCCCGTGCGATCGTGCCTTTTTGCAGTATTTCGTACAATTGTAATGAGGTCGCTCCGAAACCTAACAGCTAGTATTTGTGACATATTAGTCCTCGAGGTTCGGAAATTTGACTGTCTACGCAGTGCTTGGACTGGGAACATTCAGTTAAAATTTCAGCTTTCCAACTTCTCTGATTCTTGAGCTAGCAATTTTCCTGCCAAAAAATTTCACAGGTCCGTACATGAGATACACACGTGTCCAGGAGCTGAATTTGACATCTTTGAATTTTACGGAAGACTGGGAGCATATCCTGAAAATTTCAATCCCCGAGCTTCCCTGGTTCTCAAGTTAGCGACTTTCGCGTCAGGAGCCCTCAGGGACCCGTAAGCGGGAACCACGCGTACCTACGGGCTGGAATTAAAATCTTTGAGTTCTTTGTAGATGGAGAAAATAACCTTAAAATTCAGTTTTCTAGCTTTTCTGGTTCCCGAGTTGACGGTTTTCCTGCTAAAACTTTCACCCTCTCGTATGCGGGGCCCAGACTTGCGTAAGGGTTGGTACTGCTGCCCTGACGTGGCACTTGGTCGGGGGACCCACTGGCATGACTTTGGCGCCGGAGCTTGCTTGGCTACCGAGTTGAATTACCCTGACAGACGCACATACACACATGCACACACACCGGGGTCGCCACAGTATGCGTTTTTGCATCTGCATATAAGCAACCCAGACTGGAAAGCACTAGGCTTGTCAGTGCGATCATGCGTTTTTGCACCGGGCTTGAAGTACTCAGGTAATTGCTGCATGAATGGTTGTTGCTTTACTCCTACCTTTTGCGCTGACAAACATAAATCACCATATATTTTGTATAAAGTAAATTTCCATTTAACGGTCTTTCTTTGAAAGCAACCTAGCTGTTCAGTGAGCAATTTTCTAGCCAAAACTTTTAAGTGTCCGTACGCGAGAACCACGCATACTTGAAGGCTGAATATGAAATATTTAAGTTGAAC